ATGGAGTGTATGCACGTGTACATACTTTGCGTGTGTGCGTATGTATCTTAATACAATGGTTGGCCCAGAATTCCTATTTCTCTTTCACTTTTTTAACTTCATGTTTGTCATCGTTTTAAACAGGAAATGTATCAATGGCACTGTGGTTAGAGTATCACTTTAAACTTCATGCGGAAATTGTAGATTATTCTAAAAAAAGTCTCATCGTCTTGGCCAAATGTCTAGGCCTAGAGTGAGATACCGCAGCCTTAGAGTCCCCAGCAATGTTTTCTCCTTGTTAATGTTAGAAATCCCTCGTAGGCTGAGGGGATGGCCTAGTAAGCAGCTGTACTCGCCTTGCAACTTGTGTTTCATCCCTGGTACCCACATAAAGGTAGAAAGGAACCCCACAAAGCTCTACACATATACTATGCTGGGAGTCCCACCACGTACACACACACACACACACACACACACACACACACACACACACACACACACACATATACACACATATACTTACACACATACATATACACAAATGTATACACTCATATACACACACATACACCAATAACAAAATCCTTAAAGAATAAATCATACACAAGACTGGGTCATAGTGAAATTTTGGTTTTAGTTGAAGAACGCTCCTTCTTTCTAGCAGTGGACATTTGGGGCCCTGGGATTTTTTAACCCAGCGAGGAACATTAATCTGGCTCTCATTAAGAAGAATTCATAGACTGTAGAATCCATAATCTTCCATCAGAGAGTCAGTGGTCATTATCTTTTCCAATTTGTGCTTCTCAAGAGGTCTACTTACTTTGTCCACATTTCATCGTAATGTGACTCTAAAATGCTCGGGGACAGTACTACCCGAGTGACCCAACATGAGCTTGGTTTAGTATCATGCAGGCAGCTACTTAACGTGTCCCGTTTTCATGGGGCTGCATGTTCTGCAGCGACTGTGAGGTAAGAAGAGAAAGTGTCTGCACGGGAACACATGTCAACAGCACAGCCTCAGAGCCTGGTGCAGTTGGCAGGGGCTGTTCACAGGAAACACACATGAAGCAGGATTTTTGCTGGATGAGCAAGGTACATTATTAGTCCAACTCTACAGACATCAAAAACAAAGAAAGTTAATGTCTAGTGCTTTACTTCTGAGTCACTTAAGGGGAGAAAGAAATACTCATGAGTACCTAAATACATTATATATAGTAAAACAAACAAACAAAAAACAGACACAGACATAAATGTAGACACACACAGACATGCATATAGACACACACACATTTATACACACAGAGACATGCACACAAACACACAAGACACACAAAAATATACAGAAACATACACACACCACACTAACAGAACACTCTCACACACACTCATACCCTAAAAAAATTAGCACATTAGGAAGAAGTCTTCTGGCGATATCTTGTTTGTATAAATAAATCTGTCTGAGGGTCAGAGAATGGAGCATGCCACTAGCTAACCATAGAGGTCTGGAGGTCTGTACAGACAGACAGGAAGTGAGGTAGCTGGATGGAAATAGGATATAAGCAAGGAGAAACAGGAACTCGCTCTTGTCTGCCAAGACACTAAGGAGGTAAGGTATGGCTGTGACTTGCTCCTTCTCTCTGATCTTTCAGCATTTTCCTCTATATCTGACTACGTGTTTTTATTACTTAGACCAATTAAGAACTCCATTTACATTTCGGCGCCCATGCTCTACCGACTGAACTAGCTGGGCTGAAGCCGTGGGCTGGATTGGATGTGCTGGCTCTGGGAAGTCTCAGGGTCTGGGACTGTGTCTTTTAAATAAAGTCTGGGTCAAGCCACGGAATTCAAAGACAAAGGTTCTAGGGGTTGGGTGAGCCACTGGTACCGGGTGGAGTAGCTCTAGGAGAACCCACTTGACTGAGCGAATTCAAGACAACTGGAAGCTTTCTCAGGGCCAGACTGGGACCCTCGTGGGACGATTTGCCCCTGTCCTGCTGTTAATGTTCTGCCACGTGGGTGCCAAGATGTAAAATGTTAAAAAAAAAAAAAGAGAGGGGTGTCAAGAAAGGAATGGGTTATATGTGAAAAGAAAGCAGGAGAAAGGGAACCGGAGAGGGGTGGGTGGGCTGGAAAGATTACCGTGAGGAGGGCAGAGAAGAACAGAGGTTAATGACATCATATTTGTATAGAGATGCCCCAGTGAAACCCACTACTTTGTGTTACAAAAAAAACAAAAAACAAAAAAACGGGAACAGATAACACCAAGAGAAAGATTAGCGCCTGAGGAATCCAGAGGTCAAATGTGGGGGTTTTTCTTTAGATCTTAGGTTAGATGAAGGCCAGAGGCAGTTCACACTTTCAAGATAGACACAAGAAAGGGCACCTCTACTCATTAAACATTGCATAAATGGTTGTTAGTAGGAAGAGGCAAAGCCCTTTTGAATCTCATAAGATCCCTAGCTGCCCCTGCAGGAGACGGCCACTAGAGTGTGCTTCTAGAAACTTACTTCCAGGTGCTGAATGCAGTTCTGAGAAAGAATACAGTGGTGAACTTAACTGTTGCCCCAACAGGAGCAAAGAAGACTCGGAAACTTTGTGTGACCTAGTGGTGTGTGTGTGTGTGTGTGTGTGTGTGTGTGTGTGTGTGTGTGTGTGTGTGTGTGTGTGTATAAGAGAGAGAGAGACAGAGAGAGGGAGAGACTTTCATGGACACAGTCTGTAACAGTCTGAGTGGACTTGGGAGGAAGGTCGACCCTCAGCACTAGTGTGCTGAGTGGATCAGAACAGGTCTGGTCCGGGACAGGTGATGTCCTGAGGGCACCCACAGACATTCCAGCACAGTCACAAGATTATTATTGTTTTTCTATTACATCGAAACATCTTACTATTTAAAAAATCAACGTTATAGCAAAGTTAATTTTACAATGAACATGATGAACGCTGGTCTTCCCATTGCTTTGGAATCCCCCACTGACATTTTTACTTTGCCTGTTCCATACCCGTCAAACAACCATCATTCTATCCACTTATTAGTGTATCATATATTTCAAAGCAGATGCTGTCAGTAGGGAACATTGTATCTTGAAGGACGGAATCAACAAACATTCTTGCTTCTCTAAGAATACCCAGGCAAATTTATTAGGTTTTAAAAAAAAGAATCAAGCAACAGTATTGTCTTGAGTAACACGCAGAGACACACAACATCCTTCAATTTCCAGGCTCCGGAAAAAGTGTGCGAACTGTAGACATCACCATCATCATCATCATCAATTCAAATGCTTCAATTTATGAAGACGTGGAATGTTAACTCTAGAGAAATAGGCTCTCTGCTACAGATGGAATGCTAGCGGTAATATTTTTTTTGTTTGCTCTACACCCTTGTCTTCCCCACTCCAATTATTCCTCGAGCATAGAAACACAGTATTTCTTCACCTAGTTCCTCTCAGTTAGAATTCCGCATTACCTACTTCACAGACCTGTCATGAAGATCAAATGTGAAAAATAGGAGAATGCTGTGTAAATAACACAGCTAAAGCAGCAGCGTTATCACGAGGCATCATAATGCCTCCTCCATGGGAAAACACAGCCACAGTAATGGTCCAGACCGCTACTAGGCTTTTTAAAATCAAAGAGGATTTCAAAGGTTAAGGGACAGACAGAATATTGGCGGTTGCCTTTACTTTCTCCCCATCAGTAAGTCATCTTGTCAAGAATCAAGAGGAACCTTGGTGTATATCACCTTGGCTTGTTTTCATTAGTGAAGAATTTGTTTTGGAAATCATCCCAGCTTTAAAGCATTGCTTCCATTAGCTGGGCTTAGTACCTATAAATATCCATCACATCTGACCAGTGTCAAACCAGTCTCCCTTCTGCGTGCAGGTTCACCTGGGTAGCTCCGAAAGAACAAAGACACCCACCTGGTGTTCCAGAATGTGTGGACAGGATCTCTCTTTTGAATAAACATTTAATGTTTATTTATGTTGAACTTCAGATGGAAATTCACTACCTCAAGAGTGTTGTAAATGGGGGAGTCTAAGGCTGTTGGGATGTGTTCCCACGGTTTTGCAGCATGAATATTTAGAGCTCATATACTTTCCATTTTGTTGGGAGGGGATGAATATAAACCAAGGCAAGGTCAAAGTTAAGTTGGGGAGTAGCAAAGATGAAGTCAGTAGGAAGGCAAGTTCACCCGTCACCCGTTACAAATCCGGAAGCTGCCAGGACCCTGGCACTCTGTTTTATTATTAAAGGGATTGAGCAGAAAGATTTGGAATTTCTCTGGCTCTCAGACACATTCCCTCCATTAAGAGCTGACCAGAAAAGATCACCAGATTATAAAAAAAATATTTTGGATAGCTGGACATGTAAACAGGGACATGAGTGTGGCATTGTGATCTGATTAACAGTGACACTCACATTGAATATGTTTACAGCCTGGATGTCATCCCAGCTATGAGGAAACCCCATGACCACACTTGTAATCATCTCCAAAACCAAAGCACGCTTTTCAGATATGAAAGGGAGTCAGATCGGGACCCAATGCACTCATCCTCGGGAAAGAGAGCGCCCTAGCCCATCAGTCCTGCTCTTCTGGGGCCGAGGGCGAACAGGTTCCACTCACTGTTTGCAAGTAGCTCTAAGGGCACACTCCCTGGGTTGTTTCCACATCAGTGATGCAAAGTTTTCATCATGGCTCTAATGTGGCTTCCTGCAAGCCACACGCACCAGGAAACAAGCCGGCCCAAAGCGCCAAGAGCTGGTTTCTTTGCTAGTCAGTGTCCTCGCAACCGTCAGATTGCAACGCACTACACAAACACATATACATCAGCAGCGTTTATAAGGGCAACACGCTGGTGAATGTCAAAGCATAATGTACACATGTGTGCGGCAGTTTATATGCTAAGAAGATCTCATGACCGTGTGCTGAACCTTGTGAGCACGCTGACAGTGTCTCTAGTGCACACAGCTCTTTCTTCTTCTCAATCGAGTTTGCTTAACTACGGTCAGCTCATGCATCTTACCTGACTGCCCAGGGGGTGGGGCACCTGATGAGCCTCTCGGTAGGCAGAGAAACACCGTCAGGACAGCAGCTCTGTTCCCAGCGCAGGGTTCTATGGCTATTGGTTTAGGTGCACCCTGAAAAAGAAAACCGGCTGTAAGTTTGCATAGATGACACGACACGGCTAATTTTCCCCTGTCCCTCGGTGAGCAAAACTGCATCCCTAGTAGTTGGGGGGATACCGTAATGCAGGCGCAGTGGAGATGTGGGATTAGCCCTCGGGTGACTACATGAGCATGTTTCACTATGACACGCTAGCTGGTATGTCACAAGGCATCTTTGGTTACTCTCCCCGTGTTTCCCTCTCATCAGTGATGTGTGACATAACCACACTTGTCTAATCAAGTGATCGCAACCCCAAGTGTCCTCCTGGCATACATACTTCCGTGTATGCATGCGTGACATACCAAACACAATCGACATTATCGCTAAAGCCAAGCAAACGGCCATCACTCTGCAGTCTACACTTGTAACGTATCAGCACACAATATAATGTTACTAAATACAGCTCTCCCGCTGTACAACAGACAGCTAGATTCAGTCACCTTATCAGTATCAAGCTAGGTTTATGGCCAATGCCCTATGTCATCTTCTCTGTCCCTTCCTGACCTGGTGACCACATCTCTGCTCTTTGTTTCTGTGTATAAGACTTAAGAAAACTCCATATGTAAGTGAGAGTTTCATATATATATATATATATATATATATATACACACACATATATATATATTGATGTGTGTGTGTCCATATATAAAGTGGCATATCTTTAAAATTACCTTAGTGAAACACATATCTAATAATTATCAGTACACTTGTATAAATAACAGGGCAGAAATAAGGTAGATAGGCAAAGAACTGATAATGATGGCATTGCATTATTAATGTCTTACTACGAATTAGATGCTTCAAGGCTTTGCATATATTATCTGGTTTAAGTCTTACCATGAATCCTACAAGGTAAGAATACTGAAGAGGTTTCTTATGCAGCTATTTCCCCCAAACTAAAACATTACGGGGAGACTATTCAGATTCAGAAAGTAAGGGAGACTTACAAGTCTCAGGAAGCTCCTGAAACCCAGTTTTCAGAAGCTTCTCCTCAGGGACACAAGCAGTAACGGATGCTAGGGAAGGCCCTGGCCAGCTGAGCTGTCTGCACTCCTATACGAATCCAGTAAACTCACTGGTCCACTGAACTAGATGGGTGGGACCATTTGGGGGGGCTGGTATAGGTTTCTTTATCTGGGGTGAAAAGATGTTTGGTCACCCCTCCCAGGAAGTCAAGGAGCAAGTATAAACTCTCCATAGCTTGGAAGAAGTAAGAGGACCAGCATGTAGGCTCAGGTAGCTGCCTCCTGAGTGTGTTCTCAACAGCAGTAGATGGTCCATTTACAGACACACACGCAATCCACACACACATGCTATTACACGCACACACACCTGTACACTCACCCCTTCCTACTCTCACACAAATGTATACATATTTTGGGATTAAAATAAATAAAATGACTTGGGACATTACAGGCTGCCATCTTAGCCCGGGGATGGCAGTCTGGGCTCCATTATTTAAAGAATCACGTTCAAGAGTGGCTGTTATGTCAAAGCAGTATCTCTGCATACAGGCAAAATCAAATAGAAGACAAATATAAAAGGAGACCTCTAATTATTAGAACAAATGATTTATCCACACATTTTTCTACTTAAGATATTTGAACTTCTGAAGAAATATAGACATATGTAGTCATTCACCTAGAATATTCTAGAATATTGACATTTCCAGAAAGCTTAATGAGGCATTAAAGATAAAATATGTCCCCTTTTATGTAAAACTTAGACTGAGTTCCCGGTTGCAACCGTTTTATGTGGTTATAAAGGATTTCTCCTTTATAGCAACATAAATCTCATGTTTAAAATTTTCCTCCTATAGATATATTTTTGAAGTTTTCAATATAAAGGTGGAAAGTGGCCAGGGTGGTGGGAAGCAAAGGACATTAAAATGCCCCAAGACAATGCGATCAGCCATGTTGTTTTACTTGCAATGAGTTGCATGGTCTATGTTCTGATACTTTAAAAGCTCACATTTAACAGATTAAGTTTTGAAAATGTTAAGTCAGAATTAGCATAAATACATAGATATTACCCAATGATGTAAATATTTAGAGAATGGGCTTGTCATATGGCAAGACTAACAGAAAAATATATTATGAATTTTTCCAGCCATATTTCTAGGCAACTGGAATGTAATTTAGTTTAATAGATGCAAAATATATGTAAAGGTCAATTTGCTAAAAATATACCAAGAGAATGTGAAATGAATTCCAGGTTTAAATGACAGTAATTTATTAGAAATATCAAAATCCCCCTCACTGTAAAAAAACAAAACAAAACAAAACTCATGACTGTTATCAACAGACCATGTTATCTTTGTTATTTTGTTTTCTAGCTCTAAGTGGAGCAACGGATGCGATTAGTTTATCCAAAGTCATTAAAAGAACTGATTACAGGGACAAGAACAGGCGAATTTGGATATGACTGAAGATTTCCGTGAAACAGTGTGGTTTGGTGTGAAGATTTAGGAAGCAAGCCACCCTTCCTGCATCTTAACACCACAGGAGAGGACTGTAAATATCAAAACACCAACTGAAGGAAAGTTTAGTCAACCGTAAGTTTAACTGCGAGTTTCTGGTGGGATAGAGCCCAGTTACCTAACGCTTTCAACTTCAGAGACTGCAACGGACGAGGACAAAGGGCGTGAAAACTGGACTACAGAACAGGAGGTAGGCCTACAGAAGACCTAAGGACAGGCCGTCTGGCTAGCGTTCAGACTTCTGTACAGCACTGTCCTTGGGGTTCTGACGGGACACGCCCTCAGCTGCAGCCGCTAAGAGCACCGCCTATGAATAGTCACTATGTTCCCTTTTAAAAGGGCCCTGCCCACCTCCCATCCCATCCCTCCCTCCCTCCCTCCCTCCCTCCCTCCCTCCCTCCCTCCCTCTCCTCTCCCTCCCTCCCTCTCTCCCTCTCTCTCTCTCTCTGCTCCTCTTCCCTCTCTCCTGCTGCCCCTGTTCCCAGAGGCTGGTCTCCCCCACTTCCCCTTTCCTTTTGTACAATTCTTTTTCCCTTAATAAAAACCACTCTACTTGAACTTTGTTGCATGATGTCTTTCTCTCCCGAGCCACTTAAAAAAAAAAAACTGTAACACATATGCCTACAGTATACCTAGGAACAGGAATTAATGCCTACAGACGACCTAGTCTGTAGAGCAAGCCATCCTTAGACTAATTCCCTCACTCTCACTTCTGCTGTGACCATACGGAAAATACTTTCTAAACCTCTTTGTGTTGGTAAGCTATATAAAAAGAGATTATAATTCTATTTTAAAACCAAATTGGCTTATACCTTGATCTATATTTAGCTTCAAGAATTTTCATTGAAGGATATTAGCAAACCATGAATTATTCATTACTTCAAAATATTAGTTACTAGCCAGTTCTCTGACACTTCTGGAAGGAGTTCGCGTAATTAAAAATTATCATGAAAGAATTTCTGACAAATGCCACTCTAAATACGGGAATTTAAATTTTATTTAAAAAAAAACAGGAAAGAAACAGTACCTAACACTTGAATTTTACAAGAGAAAATGGCCACCTGCTACACATGCTAACATTTGGGATACCCCGAGGTCTGTCAGTTGCTTTGTGGTAAACACATAACCATGAACTGCAGCGGCTTCACAATGACATCATGTGCTCGCAGAACCTTGTGATCCACCGTGGGTTTTCCATGGCTGCCCCGAGAGGGGGTGAAGCTCAGGTCTGTGGCGTGCAGCAACTCTGCAGCTGGGATTTACTTCAAGGCATTTATTTTCCCGTGTGCGGTGCCGCAGAAGGCAGGTGTGAGAAAACTCTGGCAGTGACGCAAAGCCCACACGGAACCGCGTGCTTTGCAGGAGGTTTTTCAAACTGCAGAGCTGGTTTCCACGTCGCCATTCTGACGGGGCAGAGATGCTATGGCAAACCCTTCCCGGGGCTCCTTGCCTATTAAAGACAAACTACCAGAGGACCTTCGGGAATCACAGATGGTTCCGAGGTTTATCTTAAAACGCAGTGTTAGGAATAAATCGCGTTGGGGGACCTTGGCGAATTCCATGGCGGGCAAGGGTGCCGAGACAGGGACAGACACGAGAGGCAGACAGAGCTTAGAGAGAAGTTTTATTAGAAAGGGAAAGGGGGGCGGGGAGGAAAGAGGTAAAGAGACACAGATACAGAGAGAGGACAGAAGAGAAGAGGGAGACAGGAAAAGTCCTATCTGCCCCAGGGGAAGAGCGGGAAAGAGGGGAGCAGGAAAGAGAGCAGAAGTGGGTGGGTTTTTTTTCTTTTTAAAGGTCCTTTGCACCTGTGCGGACTATGTAGTGATGTAGCAGTCATGGATCCCTGGGCTGACCAGGGCACTGCCTGAGTGCATTCTGCCAGACGGCAGGGGGCAGGCCAGCATAACGCCTGAATCCTTACACATAGTATGTTCTGGAAGTGTCATTTGAGGCAGGGACCTGTCCGGAATAACTGCCGTGACACGAGTCCCTGCAGGTTTAGAGCATGCCAGGGGACAAAGCTAGATGAGGTCGCCTCTTCACTGCTCAGAAGCCCCAGAGGCCATCTCCTCTGGAAGCCCTGCAGGGCTGGCGGCTGCAGATTTGATGAGCTACCCTGACGTTCTCAGACCGGCTGTTCCGCTCACCCGCAGGCTTGTGACTCAGGTGAGAAGCGAAGGTTTAGAGAAGACCGCAAAGATGGTGATCAGGGCTAGAAATGCGCAGAGCCACGTGCGACCTGTAGCACAGGCTAGCATCCCCCGGGCCGTTCAGGCATGACGCCAGTCCATCCGTGAACAGCTTCACCCCTGTCCAGGGAAGGGCACACTCAACTCCCTACTGGTTCCACCATCTTCCTGTGATCTGAGATGCCATCCCTACCGCGGTTACTCTCATGACCCACACCCCTCAGAGCCACACGGAGTGTTGTCACCGGGCCATGAGGCTGAGGTATCTGGCCACTTCCTTCTGAGCACTCCACCTACCGCC